ATGAGGCATATGCCGCGCTTTTGGACTTGGGTGGGAAAAGGTTGGTTGCTTTTCCATTATTATTAACTGGTCCAGCATGGACATGGTATGATGCACTGCATTTTACCAAAACAATGACGTGGAAGGATTTAGGAACAGTATTTCGTGGGAAATTTATTAATTTGGGGGCTCAGAGCCCTAGGAGACTTTTAGAAGTAGAGGCATATGCAAAACTACAGCTTCGCCCACACCAACCACTGGAAGACTTTTATTTGCGTCTCATTGAGCTGAGGAAAATTCTTCAAAAACTGAAATTTACTAGTTGTTTACCAACTGTCGAATGTCCATCTTGCGTCCGTCAACTTTTCATTTAAATAACTTCTTCTGAAATACCAAAAGGCGTAGAGTTATGATATTTGACTGGAAGGTTCCTTTGATGAAGTCAAACAAAGTTTGAAAAAGAAATGACCTTGACCCATATTCAAGGTCACAGAGGTCAAATGTGTTTAAACTTTTAAACGACTTCTTTCAATATACGAGAAGGCCAAGAATCATTATATTTGGCTGGAAGGTTCCTTTCATGAAGCCCAAGAAAGTTTGTGAAAAAAAGTAACCTTGACCCATATTCAAAGTCACAGGGGTCAAATGTATTTAAACCTTTTAAAAGACTTCTTTCAATATATGGGAAGGCCTAGAATCATTATATTTGGCTGGAAGGTTCCTTTGATGAAGCCCAACAAAGTTTGTAAAAAAAGATAATCTTGACCCATATTCAAGGTCACAGAGGTTAAATGTGTTAAAAACTTTAAGCGATTTCTTCCAAAATACCAGAAGGACTGGAAATGTTATATATGGCTGGAGGTTTCTTTGATGAAGCCCAACAAAATTTGCGAAAACAAATGACCTTGACCCATAATCAAGGTCGCAGAAGTCAAATGTGTTAAAACCTTTAAACGACTTCTCCCCAAATACCGGAAGGCCTAGTATCATTATATTAGGCTACTCTGTTCCTCATATGGTGTCCTACAAAGCTTGCTTAAAGAAATGACCTTGACCAATCTGCAAGGTCACAGGTGTCAAATGTGTTAAAATGTTTTAAAGAATTTCTTCTGATATATCGAAATGCCTAGAATCATATTTGGCCAGTATGTTCCTTTTATGAAAGTTTGCAAAAAGAAATGACCTTGACCCATAGTCATGGTCACAGAGGTCAAATGTGTTAAAAACTTTAAGTGACTTCTTCCAAAATACTGCAAGGCCTGGAAACATTATATATGGCTGGAAGGTTCCTTTGATGAAGCCCAACAAATTTTGCGAAAAGAAATGACCTTGACCCATATTCAAGGTCGCAGACGTCAAATGTGTTAGAACCTTTAAACGACTTCTCCCCAAATACTGGAAGGCCTAGAAACATTATGTTAGGCTACTCTTTTCCTCATATGGTGTCCTACAAAGTTTGCTAAAAAAAATGACCTTGACCAATCTGCAAGGTCACAGGTGTCAAATGTGTTAAAATGTTTTAAACAATTTCTTCTGAAATATCATATTTGGCCAGTGTGTTCCTTTTGTGAAATTTTGCAAAAAGAAATGACCTTGACCCATAGTCTAATGTGTTAAACATGGAACATATATACAGATATAGTAGTGTTGGTCATAAAGATTAGCAAATTCACCACTCATTTTCTATCCCTACAACTTTGTTGTCTGTCAATTGAGGGGGCGGGATGTTATATACAAACTATATGAGATGGTTAATTTGCTAAATATATATTAAAATACTTTGTTTAATTGTACCTAAGAGTTATTTCCCTTACCATGTTAATTCTGGATATTTCATTCCATATCCTTTTTCATTAATTTTAATTTACTTTTTCCGGAAGTTTGGTTTCTTATATTATGTATTTTTTTGGTGATAAAGAAGTTTATTAAAATATAGAAGTTTGAGAAGCTTTGTTTTTGAATGTTTTCTTGTACTGCACACTATCTACATGCCACAGCAGAAGCAAGACTACAGCCCCTATTGTACAAAAAGAGGGGGAAGCGGATCTAGAAACAGTTTGGAGCAACTGGAGAGGAGATATTACAGGTTTACCAGGTTGGTTCAAAATTTGTCAATTCTGTCTGGAGACATCGCCTACCAAATATACATACAAGAGATCCTTGAATGATCTTGGCATCGATTGGGGTTACACACATTCATTTCACGCCAAAAAAATGTTCATGACACAGAAATAAAAAAAAACATTAAATCAAAATATCAAGAAAAAAGTAGTCCTTTTCGTTTTGCTAAAATATTTAAGTTAATCAAATTTTAAAGCTGTGAGTTAAAAACCAAGAGAAAAACAAGAGGCCCATGGGCCTTAACGGTCATCTGACAAAAAGCAAGCCAAACCTAGAAAGTGGGTTGAGGTCATTCATTTGAACAAACTTGGTAGCCTCTCCTCCAAGCATCTTACAGGCCCAATATCAGCACTCATGGACTTTTGCTTGTTGAGAAGAAGTCGTTTGTATATTTTAACATATTTGACCCCTGTGACCTTGCAAGTGGGTTGAGGTCATTCATTTGAATAAACTTGGTAGCCTTTCCTCCCAGCATGCTACACACCCAATATCGGCACTCATAGACTTTTGCTTATTGAGATGAAGTCCTTTGTATATTTTAACATATTTGACCCCTGTGACCTTGAAAGTGGGCCAAGGTCATTCATTTGAACAAACTTTGTAGGGCTCCATGCCAGCATGCTATGGGCCAAGTATTAGCCCCCTAGGCCTTCTAGTATTTGAGAAGAAGTTATTTAAAGATTTTGACATATTTGACCCCTGCGACCTTGAAAGTTGTTCAAGGTCATTCATTTAAATAAACTTGGTAGCCTTTCCTCCCAGCATACTACAGACCCAATATCGGCACTCATAGACTTTTGCTTATTGAGATGAAGTCCTTTGTATATTTTAACATATTTGACCCCTGTGACCTTGAAAGTGGGCCAAGGTCATTCATTTGAACAAACTTTGTAGGGCTCCATGCCAGCATGCTATGGGCCAAGTATTAGCCCCCTAGGCCTTCTAGTATTTGAGAAGAAGTTATTTAAAGATTTTGACATATTTGACCCCTGCGACCTTGAAAGTTGTTCAAGGTCATTCATTTAAATAAACTTGGTAGCCTTTCCTCCCAGCATACTACAGACCCAATATCGGCACTCATAGACTTTTGCTTATTGAGATGAAGTCCTTTGTATATTTTAACATATTTGACCCCTGTGACCTTGAAAGTGGGCCAAGGTCATTCATTTGAACAAACTTTGTAGGGCTCCATGCCAGCATGCTATGGGCCAAGTATTAGCCCCCTAGGCCTTCTAGTATTTGAGAAGAAGTTATTTAAAGATTTTGACATATTTGACCCCTGTGACCTTGAAAGTTGTTCAAGGTCATTCATTTAAACAAACTTGATAGCCCTTCATCCCAGCATGCCACAGGCACAATATCAGCAATCTGAGCCTTTTGGTTATTGAGAAGAAGTTGTTTAAAGATTTTAACATATTTGACCCCTGTGACCTTTAAAGTGGGTCAAGGTCATTCATTTGAACAAACTTGGTAGTCCTTCATCCCAGCATGTCACAGGCCCAATATCTACACTCTGAGCCTTTTGGTTAATGAGAAGAAGTTGTTTAAAGATTTTAACATATTTGACCCCTGTGACCTTGAAAGTGGGTTGAGGTCATTCATTTGAACAAACTTGGTAGAGCTCCATGCCAGTATCCTCTGTGCCAAGTATTAGCCCCCTAGACCTTCTAGTATTTGAGAAGAAGTCGTTTGAATGAAAAGTTTACGGACGGCGCACGGCGGACGACGACGGACGAAGCATGATGACTATAGGTCATCTGACCCGAAGAAAAATTGTGAACAAGATCAAAATGTAGAAAAAATAAAGGGAAATGAATCTTTCAGATATTGCTGAATCTTAATGCCGTTGAGGAAAACACAGGTTCATAGTATACAATGTTTGAAAGAAATCTGTTGAAATCAGAGATCTCCTGACAATATTACATTATGGAAAATACAAAGGGCAGCAACTCTTCCCTATAAGATGGAATCAAATTGACTTTCTGCAAGAGACAACTCCATACCGCGGTGATTAAGATCGAAAGAAGTCGGCTGAAAACTGTAAAAGATTTCAGATTAAGATTAACAGGGTGTATACCAATTACATATATTGAATCTGAGGAAATTCATCCAACACATCTCCAGAAATAATGATGGCAAACATTATCACATTGAAAACAAGCTGTCAGTAAGCAATTCCACACTTTTCAGCCACGCAGGCTTAAAGTAGGTAATGTAAACTAGACTTCAACAAACGAAATATGACAATGATTCATCGTCTTAACAACATGTATTGTCAAAATTCAAGATGGCTTCCTGTCTGCCATTTTCTTTTTCAGTCCTAGAATCAAATGGACAACATGGTACGAGGCCTACATATGAAACTTTAGATATTTTGATCTGGTACTTCTCAAGAAAAAGCAATTACAAACGTTCATTGTAAAAATCCAAGATGGCCGCAAGTAGGGAGCAAGGGACATATACACACGAGATTGGAGAAAAACCATCCAGAAATATTTATAACAAGAAATGTAAACAAATAGACGAAAGGCCACAGATAAAGGGCAATTTGAACAGACTATCTGATTAGGGCTAATAATTGAATTGTCAGAACACTTAATTTATTATATTTATTATTATAGCTTAATAAATCAACTTTCACTAATTTTAACAGTTTGTGCTCATATGAATTTGTGGGTTAGGATTTTCAACGGAAATAAAACTCCCCTGAAAATCAATGACTTTACATGGTTTTTTTTTACTGTGACAAGTGTTTTTTTTTTTTTTTTTTGCTAATTAGAATTGATTAATTATATATTTTTTATGAAATGTGTTGTTGAGTATCTTAGTTTTAAGAAAACACACCAAAACATTAAATATAAAGATATCTTTATTGCAAAACAGTACATGTGAAAATGTCTAAAACAATGAAAAATCACACATTATGCATTCATAATATTGAGAAAGGATCAATTAGGAAGAAAAGGGAATAGGTCCAATGATTTAGCTTACTACTACATGAATTCTTCTGGTGAAAATAAAACAAAAGTATTTGTAAAGATATAGCAGATAAAAGATTGTCACAAAAAGAATCTAAAGGTATAAAAAGTAAAGACATTTGAATGCACGTAAACATAAGTATTCAATCATCAGAAAAGTGACTCCCAAAAATTCACTGACATTTCAATTTTGTCAACCGATATCAATTAAATAATATCTGGATCAGTAATTTCCCTAAATAAATATAACTAAAACATCACATTTGACACTCTGTAATAGGACTGAAACTTTTTCTCTAGATCACAGATCTGCCTTTTATAGAATGTTTGTATCTATGTTAATTCCTTTCGCACACACCACATTCACATCTCTCACATTTTCACACTGACTACTGCAATGTAACTATTATCTTATTACTGTGCAAATAATGGTCACCAAATGTTTAATAAGTAAGGGAAATTGCCCACTGTATACTGTATTGCATTCCACAAATATTGAACGTTGGTTGATCATTTTTCAACCATTGAAATAATAATAAATATCTTTTGTATAGATCATTATTGCAAGTTACTCTCCCTTATAATCAATGTTCATGATTCTGGCTGAATCAGCACTTATACCACACATGTCCTTTACAAACATTGCACAACACAATTGATTAATTGATTGCGAAAGTGAATGTATTTCTCCATTTGTCCGATGGTAAAATGGCCGTGCGAATTCAATATTCACTTACACAGCTAACCACTGATCAGTCTGACCAGCTATTGTTGTATACAGTTGACTGATATGACTTGGCACTGTCACATACAGAAGTCGAGACTGACCGTCTGTCCCTGATTTACGTTGACCATGTGAGTTTGTTGTTGTTGTGTCCCCCATGATCCGGCAGTAACAGCATACGTCCCAGGATGGACCACCACATGGACATCTTCAGTCCTCTGCAGCTGTAAGTAAACAGCAACAAGGACTTCTATATGTCATTATCTTCAAAGTTTCCATTGAATAATGATAATGATTTCTCTTAAAATTGATGTTTCTAAAATTGAAGGAACAAAATGAAATTCATGGCTCACTTATAAAGGTCGCCGAGCATTCAGTGATAATACAATTCATGATACACTGTTAAAAGTGTCATTGATCTATTACTTCTATTCTATTGAAAAACGTTCTTCAAGGGGAAGTAAGTCTTGTCTGCTAGTGCATTCAATCCTAAATCTGTACAAGATGGAGAACTAACAAGACAATTAATGACTTTTTTGCTTTTTTTCTTGTTGGATCACCAAATTTGACAGCAATGGGTACTTAATAAAATAATAAGTGGCTTTTTGTGTTGGATCTCTGTATAAACTGGGGTATTCGGTGAAATAATTACTGGGTTTTTGTGTTGGATCTCTGTGTAAGCCGAGGTATTTAGTGAAATACTTCTGGCTTTTTTGCTGGATCTCTATGTAAGCTAGGGTATATTGTGAAATACTTACTGGGGTTTTTTGTGTTGGATCTCTGTGTAAGCTGGGGTATTTAGTGAACTACTTACTGGGTTTTTGTGTTGGATTTCTGTGTACGCTGGGGTATGGAAGCGGTTACAATGGACTTCATCACAATGATTCCTTGCATTGTCTTCGTTACTCTTGTAAAATCTCTGCAATTATACCAAATAGGATATAAAACATACCCTGATAATATTTTTTGAAAAATCAACATGTATCTTAACATCAAAAATCATTAGTAGCAGAGCATGAGTAACTAACACCACATAAGAACCCTCCTTAGCTATATTCATTTTCAAGTGTAGCATGAAGGTAACTGATGCAATTTTTGTCAATGTTACAAATCTCCTCACTCCCATTTAAAATGAAAATGTGATGCATCCAAGATTTTCAATAAATTGTAACGGTGACTGTCATTGACCCTGGCATGCTGAAGCTTGAACTCATTAACGGTATAAAGGTACTTGACTAATAGCTGAAGTTTTATTAAAATCAGTTGAGAATGAAGTTGCTAGAATGATGACGAAAAAGTGAACACGGATATGTTTGACGGATATGCTATATCCCCTTTACAGTCATCGCAAGGGGATAACGATAAACAATTATAGATCTATCAGCGAGTTCTTTATCATTCTTTGGTTCAATCTTAGATCAACAGTATTGTAACTTATATATATCTGTCATATTTTACAAATAGATATGATTACATTATCATATGTACACACTGATTATAAGATAAGTTTTGTTGAACAAAAGAACATAGATAAGATATTTGTTTCATGTGTATCAAAATTTAAAACAAATAAACTGAGTTTTAGCTTCTCTAATAATCTTTGTTTCTAGATCTATTGTATAAACATATAAAATTTAAGCATTGCTGGATCCGTTTTCTTTCAAAATTACACATAAATCTACCAAAACGTAAATAAATATGTTCTTTCTAATATGAAAATCATGTAATGCTTTCTATTTTTGAAAACAATGAACAAACAATTGAAGAAATTTGCTGTCAAGATTCATAGGAGATCCTCACCTGACACTGTCTGGTAGTTTGGGACATAAACTGTAGCACAGAAGCAAATGCATCATCTACTGTTGTATACACCAATGGATCCTACAAGGATGAAAAACTCTTAATTTGAAGCAATGTTTTATTGTTTTAGACTGATGTACATGTATAATATAAATAAATGAATTACGAAATACTATATTAATACAACAACACATACAAAAATTTAATTTTTATTTAAAGATTTACAATGTTTTACAGAAATTATTTGGTCCTTCAAATACAATAAGCATTATCATGGACAACCTAAATACCAGTGACAATACTGCACACGGAAAAAAAAAATCTTCATAAAAAAATCATCAAAAATTATCTATCCCTACATAAAAAGTATAGTAATTTAAGAAGTCGATCAGTTGGACATACTGATAATTACAAAGAAATCTGATGTCACGTCAGTATTGTGTGAAAGCGTTATAAATATCAATTACTAAAATTTAATTAATTAGGTGTACCTCAACAGGGTTTTTCTGGTCATGCCTCTGTGACGGCCATTCTATCTTCCGCATCACTGTGCGCTGGAGAACGTTTTGTCCCATTCTCTGTGCCCGGTCGAGAGTACAGTGGGCCCACTCTCCACCAAGATGATCCTTCAAATAAAAAAATAATAATAATACAGTGTATGTTTCCAACTTGAAATTAAGAGGACAAGTACATTATGATTTATATGATCAGCAAATGTTCTAAAAGAAGCTTAGCAGAGCATTTAAAAGCAGCAAGCACACAAACTGCTTTGAAATTGCATTCATAGTCAATATGGAGGACATAGCATCATCTGGGCATCCACTAGTGTGGCCGGTTCAATTGCATACAGTTTATCATAAAAGTGATTTATATTTGCAATTGTACATGTTTGATCTCCAAGTGAAGCTATTCGTTTTAGGACAATTAATCACAAGACCCAGATTGAGATTATCATACAATAATAGGTGATTTTCGGCTATTGTTAAAGTCACTAAATCATTAAAATATTATTTTTTAAACATAACTTTTTGGTTGTACAATTTTATTTTGACTGTCATGATGTACTTGCAATGTGAGCAATCAAGCATGAACTATCAAAGCAGCACTGTAACCCTGCCCCCAAAGAACATGGATTCATGGGTTTCAGACACACTGGCAGCATGTCTGCTGGGTAAGCTGTCTCTACATACACCATTGTGACTGTAGACACAGTTGTTGGAAATGAAATTCTGTTTGTAAAAATCTTTTTTTTTCTAGCATAGTGATACCCTTATTTTTCATATATGGTAAATGTTGACAATTTATAGCCAGAATTTCAAACACCAGTGTTGTTGGTATTAGGGCCACAATATGTATCAATAATGGCTTTACAGTTTGAGATTCCTCTTGTGCTGTGACTTTTATGTATAACTGCACTGAACAGTACAACATTGCTGCAGCACTCATCATCATCCACTCCAGTTGTCATTCTGAACAGTTTGCATGTCTCCTCATATTCTTCTGAAACCTAGTGCTGGAATTTTAAGTTTCTTATTGTTTTCTCTGCGTGTTAAATATATAAGTATTACTTGGTGGCTCTTTTCTCTTGATATATATATATATATATATATATATGTGTGTGTATATTAAGTTATATTTTTATTCAGTTTTTCAAAGCACATTTATTTATACATGATAATATCATAACTTCACAGATTTTCTCCATTCTTGATGTTTACCCAACGGGTATATATGACGTCCAAATAGTGGACTGCCATAACCCCCACCCCTCCCGTCACCATTACTATCAACATTCAATTCGAAACAATGTCTGTTGACTTAGATTAGAACACATGAGCAGCGTCGAGACGAGAGCTATTCTATATTGTTGTACATGTTGTCAACGCAAAAAAGTATCATTCTTCAGAGTGCGTTACATATATAACAGTAAAATTAAATGCAATATGCACCCGTATTTTTTGTTTGCTTGTACTCAATGTACATGTCTATAAAGTCTTGGACACACGGGACATTCTCAATGCTACAATGATGACAAAATACGTTTATAATGTAAACAAAACCGCTTTCCAATTGACATTTGCTTTCGTTTTTCGATAGTTCTGTCCGTTGCATTGGAAAAACGCGGTGTTAATGGTTATCTTCCTATGGTGTAACTAACGCTCCTCATTTTGTTATATAGCATTAAGTCTGCAAGCAAAACAAACCTGCTGTGGCATTTCTTCGTTTTTCAAAAACAAGTTCAATCTGGTAACCGGAAGTAAAATATTTCACCGGTAAAACCATGCGCAAATCCACATCCGGTCTGCTGAAAGTTTTCCCGCGAAATTTTGATTTCATGAAACAACTTTTAACAAAAAAAAAATAGATTGAGATACAGTAGAGCTAAACAATGAATTGTAATGCATCATACAACCTTTTTTTCTGAAAAAATGTGCACTACGTGTACATTTCAACAAAAATGTTCATCGGTGTGGGTCAAGGAATGGGTGTATTCATATCAAGAAATCGCGGTCTTTCAACAAAAGAAGTTCACCTCAGTTATCTCCCCTTTTTACTGAAAAACATTAAAAACATGGCGTGCGGTAGAAGTCCGTCTGGAAACTTCAAGACCAAAACGCAACACCTCGATCAAAAGAGAAGGTGTGTCAGTGGGTTCCTACGAGTAAGTACTTTGTAAGTAATGATAATAATTGTTTATTTTTGTGGCGAGATAATCAGGAACACGGATAATTATGATAATTAATTTGGAGACCTGACCGCGGCCGATGCAGATGCAAAAATCAACCCACTTAGATAACAAACTTTCAATGACGGTGTAATGTGATTATGTGATACCAGCTACACCTCTTGTTTACATCAAATATTTGGCCATGCAAAGAAGCAACACATTTAATCATATCATTTGGCTAATTGTTTACCGGTATGTTGGTCTACCGATAAATCGACCTAAGTTTTTTTTTCTGGGGGGGGGGGGGGGGGGGGGGGTTGTTGATTTTAATGAAATTCGAGAGAAAACCTGAACGTGTCATATTATGCAGTGTCTGCTTGAAACTAGATCTCAACAAAAAAAAGTTGTATCCATGAGGGGGGATCAGCGTATTAAGTGAATTTGATTGGCTTCAATTCATCATTGTTATTATACACTTTAGTCTGTGAGCATTTGTTTACTAAATTGTCTCGAGTCTTACTGTTCACTGTTATATTGGTCTTTGAAGAATTTACTGGTAATCACTTTTGTTTTCAAATCAGCAAATAGCTATGGATTATCATTTTAAAGTTTTTTTTATGTTTTTAGTTGTTACATCCCATAAATAATCTGTGATTTAACATGATTTTTATATACATGATTAATACTGTAATTTTTGTGTTTTTTTTTGTTTTTTGTTTGTTTTTTTTATACATTTTACATTGTTTTACTGTAATTTTTTGTCTTTATATATTCAGGAAAGATTTATTGTTTATTTTGGTGGACATTCCTGTGCTAGTCAAGGTTTTACATTTTGTCTTGTCTGAAGATATTTTTGAACTTCTGCAGTGCTTATTTGATTGATCCTAACTGAGGATTGTACCTCAGGGCTCTCGATCTGCCAGATTTGGGGCCGATATTTGGCCCCATTCCCAATGCAAAATAGTATCTTTTTTTCCAAATTTAGACCCCAAGTTTTCCCAGTTCTAAGGAAAACACCATTATTTTTCCCAATTCTAAGGGCCTGGGCCCCAGTCCTAAAATAGGGTGTGAGAGCCCTGTACCTGGTTATAGTAAATGTTTAATTAGCCTACAATGTTAAATGTTTTCTTAATTGACATAATGCAATGATTTTGTGTAATTGTGACAAATAATTAATTTTATACATTAAACTAATTTTCTATAAATAAAATGTCCTGTTTCATCTGTCAATGCTCTCAAAACGGACTTGTGCAAGTCTATATAAAAGTTTAAAGATATCAGAAAATTTGAAGAACAACAAAATTCACATTTACAGTAGATAAATATGGTTTCTTTTACTTCTCAATCACAGATTATACGAACATGTACAACAACAATACACATACAGATGAATGGTACCTAATCTCGAAGGTATCATGTTATATGTGGGCACAAAACTGCCTTTACACCGGAAGGTTTTCCGGGCAGTTTTTTGTTGAGAATTGCAGAGGTTTTTTTTGTGATATGGCCTTGAAACCTGATTGGCTTTCAAGGAATAACTTTGGATGATGTCATAACAAGCGAAATAGCTGATTGGACAAGGCGAAACTTAGGGAATCCTTAAAAGTTAACGACGTCATGATCTCTTCCATCACTGGATCGTTACATAGTCTGTTGCAGCGTGGTGATTTGAAGTAAAAAATACAGCATTTTTATTTCAGCTTGCTATCAGTCAGTGTATCAGAATGAAAGAGCAGAGTTTCTTTGATGATATTCCGAGCGTGATAATATAACTTAAGCTTTCAAGTGGAGGGATTCCGATAAATGCATCTAATCTGATGCCATTTCGCTGTGGTAGTTGGTAGGTGGGGCTGAGATTCAAGGGCGGCAACTCTTGTTGTATGATGAATATTTGTTGATATGTTGATTTTTAAAGATGAATGAACTATCAGAAATCTGTAGTAAAGCGTAATGTACTTAGCTATACATACATTTTAAAAGACAAAATAGGCCTGCTCTAAATCTCTTGTGACTTTGATAGTATCATTTTGGTATACCATAACGTACATTGTGGTACCATAGATTAGTAAATTAAGAATGCATTGTTGTCATGTATGTCCTTATATCGTACTACAATGTTTTTCTGCATTATATTGTCATTGTATTTTGTGATTATTAAACATTTATAGTGTATATCATTTTATCATTCTTAAACGTCTACTACCAATCACTTTTATTTTGACACAAGATATTGCAAACTGTCAAAATAAATAAATAAATAAATAAATAACCCACGGCATTACACCTGATACTGTACAATGTGCTTATTAGGATGCTATTGTCGCAATAACGAGATTACATGATAACACGTGTTAAAAACGAAGCACATAACTACACGTAAACGTAAAATCATAATCGAATACCCATAATTCCACTTGTTGTCAATTAAAGACATCACAATGAGCTTACGTCATTTTCATTGTTTCATGGTGAATTCCCATACAACGCGGTGGACAAACTGGTGGTGGGGGGGGGGGGGGGGGGAAGAGAGAGAGACTTCAACTTTGTAGACGAGTCAGTAAAGAATGTCAGTAAAACTTTTGTCTCATAAACTTTTTCTTCCTTTTATACATGTGTGACAGGGAGAGGAGCGGGGATGTCAAATTGCCATCCATCTCGACTCAATATGCAAACAAAACGGAGACAAGGACCTATATCTTATTGCTAATATCATGTCTACCTAGATAGACACACCAGGATTACAAACCACAAAATGAGGAACCGGAATGTTACGTTCTGATTTTAATAAATTTTACGTTTATTAATGTCGTTGTCACACAGAAATATTTTAACTCAATGGTATTCTTCAGTCTCAAGATTTTTCCGGCGATTTATTATATGTTCTCCCACACTTCCCCATAAAAGCTATACGCCATGATACTGTGGGTCAAAATTGATGACGTCATCCATTATGACAAGGTTAAGCTACATAAAGTGATGACGTAAGCCAATAAACGCGTGTGCTCTCACCAACTGATTGATTTATGCCATAATCAAATCCATATAGTTGCAAACAAATTTATAGATCTAGAGATTCCGCTGATTGCTATCATCTGGCATTGATGTAGAATTTTGTAAACCCGTATTACGACTAGAATGTAAAAATGTAGAATGTTAAAACCTGGTTAAAACTTTGTCTTTCTTAAAGTCATTCAATTGTTCAAATTTTTTGATATTTAATTCCTGAAATGAAAGTTCATATTTATTTATATTAAAAGAAAGTAAATGTTTACGATATATTTGACAGCCAAATGTTAATTAACGTCTAATATTCAACAGTTATATATACTGTCAAATCAATCATTTTCATGGATGTTTCAGTTCCGTTTATTTCGTTTGTATAGCATGAGTAGAATTCGTGATTATGATTTATCTACAAAATAAACTATCAGTTAAAATAAACATTGAACAGCATCTGCTGAAATAGCCATACAATTAATTGACATTCCTCTACTTCAGATTTTTGGTCATACGATCTGGTTATATTGAATTTATATCATGAATCATTGTAGTAGATCAACAGGTATGTTGTTTTTACTATAACATCATATACTAAACTTATCAAAGTAGAAATACTTGTAACAGGATTCAGTATTTTGACAGCTTGTTGATGGTTAAATTGTTTTAGAGGACCTTGCGGATGTGGCCAGTCTGGTGGTACAGAAGAGGGCCCAGCTCAACTAATGGGAAGGTGTTTGTTGTGATGTTACTACCTTTTTCGCCCGAGTAAAACACCAGTTGTCTTCAAGATAGACTTAACATTATTTGTGGAACCCGTTTGGACTGGCACCCATTCGACTGACGTTCAAACAGACGATGAAGTGGTAATCGACACATTAGTGGAATCTAAGCCACTGCAACTCAGATCTACAGTATTCTCCAGCACCCTGGTGCCCTCTATCAGTCAATCAAGGACTGTCCAACTACCAGGACAACTACCGGACAAGATGGAATCTCCAGTTCCAGTATCAGCAAGTTTAGAGAAAGGTGTGGATGGAGCAGAGGAACTAACCGACGTGAGGACAGCCGATGGAGACGGCGACAAAAAACAATCGGTTAAACATACCTTGGATGTGTCCGTACAGCGATATGAATGGTTCCGACCCATTCTCGGATGGACCACTGTAATTCGAACATTCACGACGGTGGGGGTAGCAAACTGGAATATTGGTATCGTCTTCTAACTTTACAAAAAATATTACAATGACTATACCCTCAATGCAATGGGTTGTTTGATAGGTTGATATTTGATAAATGACCAGATGGTGTGGTCATCTGGTCAGATGTGAACAGTCGAGAATGATTTTTGTCATATACACAAACATTGATATCTATTTCAATAAAACATTGATAAATGTTGATTTTGTTTGTGCTATATTATTTGTAAGTCAACAATATTTTGATTTATCAAACATTTCGTCTGATTGATTTGATTGTTTGATTGAAACGTTTTATTGCATATAAGTAGCAATAGGATTGTGCACGTGTTGTAAGCATTATAACTTGTATAAAGCCCTTTCCCAACATCAATACACACACATTATATTTACAAGGTGGCAGTATGATATTATAACAATGAAACAATTATATACAAGTTTAGAGAGAGAGAGAAGGGGGGGGGGGGGGGGGGGGGGGGAGAGAAGACAAAGAGAGATGGAGATGGTGAGGAGGTGCTTGACAAGTACTTTGTATGTTGAGAACACTTGTATATATGTAGATCATGCATATGCTTCTTCTCCATGAAAGTCATATAGGTGATACACTGTCCACATGCCTAAATCACGTCTTGTAAATGTTCATCCCTTCCTGATACTTAGCCGTGATTCATTGACATAGTGAATGTTTTTTTTATGTGTGTATGTTTTGATACATCACTGCTTAAACGTGTGACAAATTTTATAAACGGAATGAAATGTCATAAAAACATCATAAATGACGACAAGAAGTAATGTTCACGAGTTTCTCAAAAATGGTTTCTAAATTGATACCGAGAGTGGAGAGTGGAGCTTAATATGATGAGGAAAAACGTGTAGATATTGACCTTTTGTCCCCCCCCCCCCCCATGCCGTTTAAAAAAGAATTATTTCATTGATTTTTATTGCGTTCTGATTACTAGATAGCGGGATTCATTTTCAGCGTCCGTAACTTTTACTTAATACAAAATTACTATCATAAGGCTCAATCCGTTCCCCCGCATTATACAAATGTACCAATATAAGCGTTTTCCGTTTTTTATCGAGATATCTTTAAAATATGGCTGGCTTTCTGTTTTTCATCAATTGATTTCCTATTCCAAATAGAATGTATGTAAGACAATCTGAAAATATTTATGTTTAAAAACATTTATTTGATATTTACTTTTATAAACTAAACTGTAACAGGATGATACATTGAAGTTTGAGAAGTATTTTTATAAGGAGGACTGAGTTGTTCTCAAACAACATATTCCAACGAGTCCGTGATGCTGTCACGTAGTCGCTTGGGCAAGGGCAGACGTGCTGCTTGGTCAATTTTACGGCCACAACTGACCCACACGGTAAATACACACCACCTACGAAGTGTCCAAACGTCCGAAATACGTTTCTCGTACTCGGTCTTTATTCCAGCCAAAATTCGCTTGTGCTTCGATGACGGCTGATCGAAGCTTGCTGCCATGTTGCTGAAAATTTCATATGAATCTCTCAAAGCTGACTGTGCCATAGAGTCCATTACAAACGAACTGTGTTCGATGCCAAAGACATGAGATCTGTCCGAGGTTGTAGCATATGCTAAAAGGTGTTCAAAAAACACATTTAAAGGGTAATATCCGTATATCTTTGCGTCCGGATTCGCGCCATGACGTAAGAGTAGTTTTAACATCTTCCAGCCAAGGCCAATTTTTGGAGCAATTCTACAAAAACAATGTAAGCTGTTTCCATAAGTATTACATTGATCTTCAATCCTTCCCACGTAGTTTAAATCTGCTCCATGTTTTAATAGAGCTTCTGTACACTTCCCAAGATGACTCCTCAGGGAAAGTTTTTGTTCTATTTGCACTTGATCGGAATATTTCCCAATTGTGTCAAACAAACAATGTATTGCCGAAGAAAATGCAGATCTCCCAAATGCTGCAGTTGAATTGAATTTTCTTTTCGTAAGCTCCTTTTCGAATTCCAGTTCATCAAAATTGGGGTCAGCACCAGCATTGAGCATGACCAGAAGGCATGCAAGGAGGTACGGGGACGAGTTGTCCAAGTCATGACAAGACGAATGAGATAATAGGCTATAAAGCGGATATGTCCTGTAGGGAAGACATTTCGACAAGTCGTGTGAATGCTTGATCAGAAGAGTCGTAACGGTAAGCAGTGATTCGTACCAGGATTTCTTAAAGGAAAGACTGTAGGAGAAGAGAACATGGTATAGATTCATGCCACCAAATAATGAACTGATGTCAGGTTTTAGACCCAGTAAAACGTCCAGACATTCTGGTCGAGCCATCTTTAATGCAACCCCTACAGCATTTTTAATATCCTCTTCTGTTGGATTGTGTGATAACAATAGCCGGAGAGCTGGTGGGGAATCGAGCTCACAGGCCAGGTTCACATAAGCATCTTTGGTACTTTTGGATTTGTGCCTCACTTTACCGCCATAAAAATGATCAAGTATGGTACACACGCACCCAATATGTCCGTACTCTCCAGCTATGTCAAGGGGAGATAATTTATCTTTTCCATCTACTATTGGTATTCTCATAGCTTTTGGAGAGTCCTCGCTTAACCCTGTTTGTCCGTAGTATTTAAACTTCATTGGGACGTTATCATGGCCCCGTTCTTGAATCAACATAGCAAGAATGGTTTTGTGTCCGAGTCGAGCGCTTAAGTGAAGATATGGCACTGAAGGTGATTCGTGTGGAAGCTTGAAGTACCCTTGATGGAAAAACAAACCCACTGCTTCTATATTATTACATATTATAGCATGATGTAAAATGTCAAGGTCTTCGCTGTCGACATACCATTCTATTGCAGCTTTGGAAAACTTAGCGATCCCATCTTTTAATACAGAAGCTTCATTGGTAGATTTAATTAAATTGACAATAGTTTTAACACCTTCTACCGGTTTCTCCATGATATAATTCAATGGTACCCTTCTTCACTCAATAAATCGTCTCATTTCTCCAATGTTTATAAATAATTTGATCTATTAGTCATTTACGAGCACGTCTGTCATACACGTGTGTTTCAACATGTATCCAGCTTGATACACGAGCGAATTCTACACGATTTCCCTCATTTAAATGCCCAAAATTGAACTCCGGAACATGAGGTCCCTGTACAGGTAACATGGCCTTCTCTGACTTTAAAATGCTGATGTACGGTAAAGCCTGTCTATCTGTTTAAATACCGCATTGCAAAATGTTAGGCCTTATTGATTGAGCTTTACACACATGTCCATGAAAGATTATCGATGGGTAATTGCCAGGCTTTAGGCCTATGTCGATACACTTTCGAGTCGGAACAATAGTATAAGACAAAGTTGCGTGCCTAGTTTCCTGATCTTGATCTTAAAGGTGTTCGTTGTTATTGATTCTATTCGACTAACGCACTCAACGTTATCAAACATTCATATGACCTGAAGCTGAAATGAACTAAATTTTGAAGAAGCGATAAAATATTCCGGAAATTTTAACTTTAAAGGTATATTATTAATTATGAAAAGATATCTTATATGATTGCTTAAACACATGATCAACATTGCTTTATGGATAAATGACGAGTTGGCTTATCACAAAAAGTAGAGTAGATGGTTATGCGTTTTTTTAGACTGATGTTATGTAACCTATTCAAATATATTATCGGCTAATTTTAAATTTTACATTTTCTTTTAATGGGAAAACGCCCCAGAAAAAATGTAATTCGTTTTAACTCCACATACTCTAATATTTTCATACATAATTTTGACGTTAAATGTTAATGTGATTATTTTTTTTAACTTTTACATTCAAAGAGGTACATGTGCGCTTTTATAATGCCTAGGAGGTATACCCAACTGGCTAGAATTCCGGGTTAATCTAAATATCAGTAGTAACGTTAGTTCTGTCATGTCCTTCCCAACTCTGAGGTAAATCGCTCCAGGGGGTTATCTTCTGACACTGCCCGTCTATTGTTTATTTGTGTCAAAATTCCCAAGTGCCGCGGGGCATCAGAAACCTACCTATAGCTTATTAGCAAAAACAAAATTAATCACGACTGAAGAATTCAATTCAAATTATATGACAGTAACAGCACAGTGATTTGTATTTAACTTTGTATATGATTGGGTTACTTTTATAAAAAAAAATGAAATTTTGTCACTTGGTTTCGGATATGTATGGGTACACCAAGAAATGTATGCAAATTATGCAGATAATATTTTGCCTGAAATAAAGCAGAGAATTTTTTATCAAGCCCAACAATACTAGAGTCATCGGCGAATTGTCATATATATAAACATCTTGTGGATAGTGACCTGACCTTTTCATATTACTAGATATATTCCAAACAAATCTAGAACTTGTCTCACTAAGATACGTCTGTCGGCACATTGTTTAGCTATTGAATCTGGTCGATATGATGATACCCCAAGACAAAGACGTTTTTGTAATATGTGTAATACCGGTCAGGTGGAGGATGAGTATAATTTTATTTTTGAATGCAACAGGTATAGAGATTTAAAGGAAAAGTATATCAAACGTTATTATTGGAATAGGCCATCTGTTTTTAAATTGGTTCAGTTTTTGAGAGTTGAAAGTATTAAGGAATTGTGTTCTCGAGGAAAGTTTATATATGAGGCAACTAAGTTAAGAAATAATACATAATTAAATATTAAGTAATAATAACATAAAACATTAAGTATGAAATACAGGGATTTTATATGTCATTCTCTATATATGTATGTTACGCCATGCTGTAATTTGTTTATATTGTTTTTTATGACTGATAAGCCGTAAGGCCTAAGATAATAAAAGAATAAAAGAATGTTGTTTCGATAATATTGTCGATTAATTTTGGGTGTGTCTTGTTTTATCATAAAATTGACACCAACATTTATATGATGCCACAACCGCTTAACTTAATTAATCTTTCTTACAGGATGGCCCCATATTTCTTGTGAAATGGCTCTATTACAACATAGCCGAAAGTACATGGGAACCAGAGAATCACATCCCATCAGACATAGTAGAAACTTACGCTTCACCTGTTATTAGTCACGAAAGATTAGAAGCTTCAGTCAGTGCTTTCGAGAATGCCGTTCAACAGCGGTTATCAGCGAGAAATTGCAAAGCCGTACTACCATTTCAGTTGGTTGTGTTCAGATATTGTTTCGGAGTAGAAAATATTGTTTTGGTGAACAAAAATGATTTCGCTAAGCTACTTCTGCCTGAAAACTGGTACTATAAAATCAACTGTAAGGGAAACGGTCTTCAACTGTCAATTGCCTTTACTGTATAACCAGACAACGTTCTGAATTCATTTTTCCTGACCAATCATGTAGCCCGCGGGCATCGGTTGACCAGAGCTTCACACGGGTGTTTTTGAATCCGGTGGCTTGGAATTAAGTGTTATTTGATAATTACCAACGTAAATATCAGTATGGCTGTATTTTGTGAAACTTTTATTTCTGGTATCATCTGCGGGCAATACACAGGGAAATATCGGGTATATGATCGTAGTAGTAACTACATGCTACATTTTATCTGCACATTATACAATAGTCGCTAGTTCAAGTAGTGTTGTGATTTATATGTTTTTTTTCTCGCATATATTGAAAAGATGGATTGTTATTATTGCATTTTGTAACTCTGTTTATATTAAATACCAATAAATCATAAAAACCATGTTGATGAGCAGATAATTTGAGAAATGATGATAATTTAAATAAATAAATAAATAATTTTTTATACGAATTATTATTCGTTTATACTTGAGCGTCTCTTGTCAGTGTATCACGTCCAGTGTAGCATATCGCGGGAGAAACCAAGGGCGACAACTCCTACTTATTGGTTAAACTTTGGCGAGGAGAAAAGTTAGGGATGTGTGATGCGCGAATTCATCGTTGCGATAATTTTCCAAAAATATGATATATATGAGATTTGATGGGATGTTTACACTTTTATAATGTTACTGGTAAATCGTTTACCAATCTAAACATTTGGTGTAGATCTGGCGCTCCATTCTTCACGTGTGCTTGTGATTTGATCTGTTTCTTTAACAAAGGATAAAAATGCATTTACAGCCAATTACGTAGGAAATGCCAATATCTCTAACTGAAAAAAATTGAGAAGAACGCAACAGACACGAAGGGCATTAGATATTCACATTTTTATTTCCTGCATCAACTTTTTGAAGTTTAACATGTGTACGTTGCTATCGAACACGTGTTTGTTGAACGAACCACTCTTGAACAAATCATCGTGTACGATGTATTCTGACGTGTAAGAATATTCGTACGTACAAAGAAATCGTTTTTATTTTCAATTTGTTGCTCATATGGAGGCATTGAAATGACAAACGTTTTCTTTTTCGATGAAACTGTATTTATATAGGACAATTTCATGCCTTTGTTTTTATCTCAACCTCAAATCTGATGAAACTAGGGCATAATATGAATAAAGTGACGAATTACAATGAAATTGTTCATAAAGTAGAGATATATGATTAAATATTTGAAAATGAGCACCATCGAATTGAAATTGATATTACCGCATCCTAGTTACCCAATATTTGTCTGGATTGTATTCACGAGAGTATAGATACATTCTACACAATAAGACAATAGCATGATGTCATTTTGGTGCCATATTGATCTACGCTACGTCAACAATTTGTACCAGACAGCACTCATTATATCTTAACCTAACTCGTTTGCATGATTACATGATTTTGAAAGAGCAATAGACAATTGTATAAAAGACACACGAGCGAATTTGCATTATACCGCTATTTCGTCCTTAAAGGAATAGTCAAAGATGCTAAGGGCCTACAATTTTCATAATTGAAGTAAATAGTGAAATTGACATTCTAATATCTTAAAATAATTTCTGAAACGAGAATGTAACAATAAAAACGATTTTAAGTTTGAATTTATTAATGATATGAATGCATACAGGTGAATGAAACTTCCTAACGGAGATCATTCTATTTTTCTGTCACACGGATTACATTTATATTAACATTAGTTGCAATCCGACGAGCGTTATGTACTTAAATAATAATGTCGCGGACAAAATTTATGTTTTCAACGCAATGCGATACGATAAACGGCTTCTAGAACGTACAGCTATGTTTTCAACGCAATGCGATAAACGGCTTTTAGAACATACAGCTATGTTTTCAACACAATGACATAGGATAAACGGCTTCTAGAACATACAGTTATGTTTTCAACGTACTACCATACAATAATCAAGATTCCATTTTTTTCAAACATCAGCATTTTCTATTTATGGACAAATCCCAAATTCCTTCTTGTGTGAAGCTTAGTAATGGCATGTATTGATATTGTTATGAGTTGTTTGTAGTGTTCCAGCTGTTACTTGACACTTTTCATTTACAGAACTCTGTGAACAGTATTGAAATATTACATCAAACGGTTTAGATACCGATACAAGAATCAAGTGCAATGCATGCACAAAAACATTAATTATGAATCATTAAAAAATTACTTTCATCAAATAAAAATACTCTCCAAATAAAATCGAATCGAATATGAATGAAAAAGGCCACCCTTACAGAGAGGGTGACTTTGTATTTATTTATGAAATTAAAAACATATCTTATAATTACATAAACCATAAAACGAACAAAAACTTTTTTTTTTCAGTAGTTATAATAAAAAGCCAATGTGGGGTTAACAAAAAAATAGAACAGATAATAGGGTGGAAGTGGGTGGGTAAATTTTGCATAACAAATGCAAATCCACTCCACTAAATGAAATGCGTATTGCTATAATTGAAGATGGCTACCTAATGAGAGGGGTCTCAGCATTCCCGCGAAAGTAACTGGCCAATCAGATGACCGATAGCCCTCTAATTCAAGGGACAGAACTTAGTTATTTTTGGAAAGAAAATTAAGGGAAATAACTATTATAATTCTTTAACAGAAAAATAACTCGTATATCTATTCAACAGAAAATTCGACAATAAAAGTATCTTGTATAGTGTTTCCAATACATAAATTATGCTTATGCCTTAGCTGCCTTTTATCTTTAAACGACATTTGTCATAATCGAGTTAAGTGACACTTTCACCCAGTCACAGCTGGAGGGCACAGATGAACAGTTTTTTCCCTATATATATATATATATATATATATCAAGAGAAAACTTTATTGCTGTTTAGTTTTGAGCTTACTATGCGTTAACTGTTTGAAAGATAACGCTATTTTAGGGCCTGAGTAGTTGACACGATCGGTAAGTTGAAATATTGGATAAATAGTTACTAGATACATTTGTTTATTATAAAACGCAATAATCATCAACATACATGTAAAACAAATCCGGTAGAGTACAATTCTTTTGTTTGTAGCCGTTGTATTTAAAGACGGTAATCTGTTACTAAATGTACCTCCCGTAATTCTGTCAGGGGTCACCCTTGCTTCTTTTCTTTCAGTGTTTCCTTGGTTTGTTTTAATGTTACTCTGTACCTTTATAACCTCAGTTTCTGGTTTTGCCTTCCGTTGTTTTATGTTGTCAGTTTCTGTTGTTCCTTTTCTATGTTGCTTTATAATCAATAAGTATTGCTGTCTTCTGATTTATCCTGGCTCACTCTGTGTTATGTGGAAATACTTTTATTTTCGTTGATTTTTATTTCTAAAGTTGTATTTGTTTTGGTGTCTTTTCTATTCATTTTGCAATTTTTCATTCTGTTCCAACGTCTCTTCATTGTCAGTTTTTGTCTTTCTTTTCGTCATATTCCTATTTCTAGATGTTGCGTTTTGTTTGGTGTCTCCTCTGTTCAGTTGTCTTTCTTCTGTGTAGTCTTATTTTTATATAGTTTTTTATTGATAGCGCTATTTTCACATGTCAATTTTCAGTTCCTGATTATATATAGATGATGATATATTAATACATAGGTGAATCCTGACACAAAAATTTAAGTTTGACTGGGAGAAATATAGAACATTCATTTAGGCACATATGGTGATTCATTTGATGGTATCCAGCGATTCTGGGGTGTCGTATAATTTATAGACAAATACCCTAATAGTCTTAATAGTCTTCATCAATGTCATAATTTTGCTGTCGCTTTTCCTATCTTGCTGATTGCTGACATTTTTCAGTTATGACGTCACATCCGTTGGTTATAGCTGGACTGCTGCTCATCATCGCAACTGTAGTTGAATGCCGTAAGTAAACTGATTTGTTATGTTTTGCAGATGTTATATGTTTATGTACATCTCGTGTGCTTTATGCCTGCCTTATGTTCATTTATGTTTAAAATTTACCGTTTTTATGTATATGTCGCATGCTTACGTAGTTGTTGTATGTTACTATTGTTTGCCGTGAAAAGTTATGAAGAGTTTTTTTAAAGTATGCAGTTTCAAAAAAATACTGAGAATGCTAATTTTGAATATGTATCATTTATCCTGATAATCAATGAACTTGTTTTGTACTTCTCTCGATCGGTCACATATTACTACTGCCTTTATTAAAAAATAACATTTTCTTCAGTTTCCTCTATTCATTTGCATTTTAGCATTTGATGTTAAATTTTTTTTCTAAAAGTTTCCGTTAAAACTAGAAGACGATATTTTTTCTCAGACAACATACCGCCCTGTCGTTAAAAAGGAATCCGCTCTATTAAATCTGATTTGAAAACATGTGTTGAATTTAAAGTTGGTTTTATACGTTTTCATACACTTTCTGAACATCTGTGGATATTCTCCTTTTTTAATGATCTGACTTTTTTTGTCTCTCTTTTCTATAAAGTTTGCAATAGCTTTATTGCGTTAAGGTTTAAACATTTTATTCATACAGTCAAACTTCGCATAAAGACTACCTCAAAGACCATCTCGCAATTAAAATGATCTCGCAACTTAGACTACTTTTAAAAAGTCGCAAACATGAGTTTTCCATTGAATTTCACTTCACTTATCAGACGACTAACCAGTTACAATGTTCTAAGTTTACCGTGTAAATAGGTCAGATCAATTAGCTATGTTTATGTGTCAAACTTATTTCTTAAATATGATTACTTTTTGTTTAATTTTATAACATTTTATATAAGTGAATTATTGTGAAAATAAAAGAATAAAATTCTGGGGTCATGTAATTGCTAATGACGTCATGTTTATGACGTGTCGGGAACAGACGGGGTCTTTGACGTCATTAACTATTGTCATCCGGGTCTTCCAGCTTCCCTTCCAGCCAGTGAAAGATTATTAATCTACTTGTTCATACTCAGATCACACTACTGTATTTTAGATAGATAAACCGCTTTTTAATCACTCTATGTACAAAAAAGCTATTGGCATTTCCTGCCTTTATTGTTAGGTCAGAAATGAGTTATGGAGTTTTTTCCAGCTAGGGAAAGATTATTAATCTACTTGTTCATACTCAGATCACACCACTATATATTAGATAGATAAACCGCTTTTTAATCACTCTATGTACAAAAAAGCTATTGGCATTTCCTGCCTCTATTGTTAGGTCAGAAATGAGTTATGGAGTTAAAGTTCCATGCTTCTGAAATTGTCATGTGTAAAACACACAAAATATTTTAATTTGGAGGATTTCTATCTTTCGCAAACGAGAATTCTGTCATGAATATTGAAAAGTTATTAAATTTGGTACAATCAAATGTAAACGTATTATCTGCATTTATAAAATTAGCGTATCCAGAATGAATGCTATATAGACAACATATAGAAACTGTGATTAGCATAAACATACATGTATTTTAGCGTTACACGTTTAGCGTGAAATACGCTACAAATAAATCCTGTACAATTTGGGTTAATCCACAAAAAATAAATCAATGGAAAATCATATTGTAATGTTTCTTCTTATTTCAGAATGTAACAGAAGAAGTGGACCTGTCTGTGCCGTTAGAAAAAGAACATTTAGGAATGAATGCAAAGTTAGAAAGTAAATATTGCTAAATAACCAATATATTACGTTTACATTGTAGCGAATGCAATGTCAAATATACCCCACTTCCATTTAAATAGTAGCACGGTTCAGAATATGTACATGTTCTTGACTGTTCCGAAATGATCTGATATATGAAAATGACGGAATTAATTTGATTATGGACAAATGCACTTGCCCGTATAGATTTGGACTTATCTTTTGACCACTTTTACTTTTCCTCAATCACCTCCAATACATCAAAATCACTGACGAGTCCTAGAAGGACGAAACAGCTGTATGATGCAGTTTGATTAATTGTTTGGCGTCACTGTACCTTACTCTGAATTTGAATTGCCTCGTGTATCGTTTTCACAATTTTCCATACCAGGATTTTCTTTCATATGATGCTTAAGACATCTCACTTACAATGAGATGAAACATTTCACATGAATATACCCAACAAAGCATTTTAAAGCAAACCTTGAGGCAGCGTATCCATAATCCAAAATCCATAATATCAAATTGATATCAATAGGTACTTTTATACTTGTAACATATGTTACATGAGCCTTGTACCTGAGATATGTAAATAGCAGAAATGTATGATTTACTTACCATTGCTATATAAGTAATAGATCAAAATTCACAAATGACTTATGAAAACAGGATGTTGCAAGATAACTGTAATGGAAAGATATTATCCTGTAGGCACTACACAAGCAAAAAAAATACAGGATAAACATACTTTTTTAAATATTCCCTATTGTAAATTTTCCTTTTTCAGATTATACTACACTAATCTACATTGATAACAAGACACATATGGTTCGATATCCTAAAGGTTGTTGCAAATTTTACAAATCCTGCGATAGTTTTAGAATGCTTACCGAAAATAGATCGGTAAATGGAAAGACTATTAGAAAATCATTAAGAGATCATTGAGAAATACTCTCTGCAATAAATTAGGGGTGTTCGATGCATAGTGGTTTCATTACTTCTGCCCCAATCTTCTTGTTGAGAACATAGAATCACCTTGATTTTGAAATAGATAGTACATGGTGTGAGGGATGGAAGATATCTTTCCCTTCGGGACACGTGGGGACGGATTTTTACCTGGGTATGATATCAAAGACTTTTGATATAAATCTGAGACACCGATGAAGTGAACATAGCAATAATGGGAAAATTTTTGTGATGTATTTTTTTTTTTTTTTTTTTTTTGGGGGGGGGGGGGGGGGATTCAACATATCGGAGAAACGTAAATTTACCATAATGACCATGGTTGCCACAATTTCATTTTAACGTCGCGCTGCCGCCTATAGAGATATTGACGGTCGACACGTGACGTCAATTATCCAACGAGATGCGCAGGTGTTATTTAGAGGATCTATGCTACATTTAATACAGTCGGAGATGCTTGATTCTTTATGGATATTGGTTGCATGAATAACACACAAGTGTTAGTAAATGTTAAAAGGATACATATGAAAAACATAAGTATGTACATTTGTAATGTAGAATTAAAGGTGTGGAAATTTACCCATAATTTAGAGAAACGTGGAAATAAAAACTAATAACTATAATTCACAGGAACTTCAACATCATCACTTCCGGTAAATGTGGAGGTGATTGTGTTTGTCATCAGGATTATACTCCAGTATGTGGAGTGGATGGTGAAACGTACTCCAATAAATGCTTCGCCGGCTGCAAGTAAGAAAATTATTTCAATATATAAAACAGGCTGCAAATATATGCTTGAAAATATTACCATTTAGCCCAGACTATGATATTTACATTGAATATTCAATAGATAGTAAGGAAATCGATACATTTTTGCACAGAGCATCATCCAGAAATCACTATTTTATCCTGGTTGTACATTTTTCTTGAGTTTTTCTTTTACTATATATGTATATCGCAGAACCTTTACATTTCTAAAGGGGCGTCAAGGTTGCCTGCATAGGGAAATGTCCATGTGACTGTAGCTGTACTCGTAAGTATGACCCTGTTTGTGGCGTGGATGGAAAGACATACGGGAACGCTTGTGTAGCAGGATGCCAGTAAGTGGATTGTTACAAATTTCCTGATTTTGTTAGGCGAAAAGTCTCCATAACAAAGTTATGAATGCGATACATAGCACGCTTATGTAGTTAAACATTAGTTTATTTTAAATGAGATTTTGTTCTTAGTATATTTCTGAAAAAGAGTAAATCTATTTGAAATAGAAATGCAATAAAACACGTTTAAATAAAATCACTTCATGGGAGGTGGCATAATCATAGGCATGCCAAAAAATCTTGAAAAAATTGCTAAGGCCCATTTTCATGTTGGATTCGAGTGTCGAACGTAGATATATAAAAGTCTCAGAGTATCTTCAATTTCAGTCTTTATAATTTCAAACTAATGACAAAGGCCTAATATCAAAGTATCGTTTATAAATTGTTACTGGGACTTAGGTTTAAAATATTTACTTTTGGATATTGGCATGACATTTTACATAACTGGGAATTTTAGATTTAGGAGAAATTTGGGCACGGTCGGTTTTTATAACATTGGCAGGTCACGTGACGCCTTCGTGAACCTGTTTCGAACGCTTTGTACATTCAATAGTAGTCATCATGTTGCTTTCGAGTGTCATTCGGGTAAAGTTCTTAATAAACATGCACATCTTCGTATAGCCTTCATGTGTGGTTCGGGTGGCCTTGTGGTATGCTTCGGTTGTTGATTGGCTGTTGACTAAATTCGGGACTAACTTCGCGTGAAATTAAAAGTTCATATTCGTATGAATATCGGTTTTCAGTTTCGGGACAGTTGCGCGCCTGCATAAAATATTTCACGGTGAATATTGAACTGATAGATTTTTGATGGATAAAAAAACCGAGTGAAAGTTAGATATTCCAGAAAAAAAAAAAAATTCATACTTTTTTTTATTAAGCGGAGTTTTCATCTCTAATGTATATAAGTGAATTCACTCTGTACAAAGCAAGTTCGTATATTCTATCAAGCGACACTATGTGACGAATATTGGTCTGTAAGGGAAAAAATAGAAAACTTATACATTCTTTAGATGAACTTTTTATTGATACAATTCTTAATTGGAAACTGCTAAAAATATGACAAATTAAGAAAAACATTGTCAAATCCTTTGTTATTGTGGTATTCTTATTTCAGGGGTGTTGGCATTAAATGTCATCAGAAGTGTCCTTGTCCATGTATTTGCACTCTGGATTATACACCAGTATGTGGAGTTGACAATAAAACCTACAGCAACGCGTGTGCCGCCGATTGTGCGTGAGTGCGATAAACTATTATCAAAAGGAATTTTTTTGTAGATTATAGAAGTATATGCATTGTAGCTGGGGGTATACAGATATATCACAAACTGGTCCATGTTGTTATGTGTAAAGTTTTTGGTGATGGGTAGTTATTGGTTACATGCTTATGCATTCTGTATGATTATTAATAAGCCTACCTACTTATATTGAATAATATTTCAGTAACTTAGTAAAGCAAAATCAATAATCTATAAAGTTTAGCACTGTGTGCATTTTGACATGATTACCTGTCAAATTACCGTCATTTAGGCCCATTTTGCCTTTTGACCATCAAGGCAAAAGAGTGATGTAAAAGTATATGTTATGTATTTGATAGCAAATATGAGAAACCGCAAAAATGAAAAGTTTTATACGAGGGCGAACGAAATACTAGACGAATATTTCCCCGTGTACAGTATATGTCTGTAGCTATGGTACCACAGTTAAAGATAGTCATTTTTCTATTCTTACTAAAACTGTTTGCTGATTGTCATAGCCAAAATGAATCTCGTTCCGAAATTGGCTTGGAAATGATTAGACTTCTATTGTTAACATTCGTACTGAAATGACAAAAAGTGTTATTTGTCACTACACTACTGTAAATGATATTTTTGAGAGTACATTTCTTATTGTTGCGATATAAATAAATGTAAAATTGTTTTTGTACAGTGGTGTGGCTGCAAACTGTGCTGGTGAGTGCCCATGTGAGTGTGTATGTACCTTGAAATACGATCCAGTTTGTGGTACCGACGGCAAAACTTATGGTAACGACTGCTTCGCTGGTTGCCAGTAAGTGCATTTGCAATACCGTCTAATACATAAATTGAATTAAATAACACAAGACATAGGTCTAATGTTAAAATAGAATGTTTCTATTTATTAATGAAACTCTCTCCACATTTTAGTGATGTGAAATTTCCTAGCCTGCCCTCGTTGGGTTGATACTGGAGGCTCTTTCATAGCTATGTCGTTATTGAGATACAACAACGCATATGTCAGAAGGCAAGCAGGACGAGAAAAAGATGATAATCAAAGTTAGTCCCATCCCATATCATCATGATTATCCCAATCCTTGGGGAAAGGTTATGAGGTTGCAACACTGCAAACATCGTGTAGAAAAAGCAGGCGTAACAGTAGCAAAAATACAATAGTAGTAATATATATGTAGCAATATCAGTGCTAGTAGTTTTAAGGCTATAATAGCAATAGCAACTGTTATGCTATATCTTGTTAATATCATATCATACCATCCACAGTGGTGTAGGGATTGCCTGCAAACAGCAGTGTCCATGTCTATGCATTTGTCCTGCAATATATAGCCCAGTGTGTGGGGCGGACGGTAAAACCTACAGTAACGATTGTGCTGCCAGCTGCGCGTAAGTGGCCATTGCGATCTTTTTCTTTGTACTTTTGCATAACTTGCAATATTCACTACCCTTTTTTATTTTAATGTTTGGTATTTTGTTCATGTGTTTGTTGCCAATGTTTCAAATAGAAAGAAAAAAATGGTCTAAATAAAAAGCATGTAGAATACAGACGATAACTTTATACAGTTAAGACAAGTAGATGATTTTCAATGTATTCATATACCAAATGGTATTTACATATAAGCCTTTGCGAAGAAATCGAAAATAAAAATCTAATTAGATAGATATTTATTTCAAATAATAGCATTTGTCTAACTGTAATTTCCTCGATTTTGGGTTTTAGGAAGTTAAATATAACTAATTTTGATTATTCTTCATGATGATAATAGCGCTTTTTGTAATGTCATCCCAATGTCCACAAATTCCATATGCTATTTTATCGGACCTGATGACGTGAGTGATAAGGCTATAGTATCATTGCATCGAAACAAAATTTCACAATTTTTTTTTACCAAATTGCACCTTAGAAATGTGAAAAAGATCAATTATGAGAAAGGAGAGCTCTGAAATTCGTAGCTATTTCTGATATTCGTGAATGGTATAGGGAATATAAATAGAGTGAAATAAGTTAAAACAAAAAGGGGAAAAAAAGAAGGAAAAAAGAATGCAGAACGGCAATATGTATGTATTCTATCATGATACAACGCATTACTGAAATCGGAAAGAATATCCGGATGTGCTGTTGTAGAAATGTAAAAGTGGCATGTGTTGGTAAATGCCCATGTGATTGTGGCTGCACTGAAGATTACAACCCTGTTTGTGGGCATGATGGCCGAACATATGGAAACCAATGTGTGGCAAAATGTCAGTAAGTATATAATTCTTATGTGTTTGGTCTCAAATACCGGGAAAATAGAGATATATTTGGAAAGCTTATCCCTAACATGGGATTAGACACATGTAGATATAGTGAATATTAACATATAACTAGATCACAGACATTAACCTTATAAATTATTGATCATATTGGAAGTGAAATTTTTTTTAAAAGGTCATCTTTAAAACATAAGACACTTATCCTTCCCGAACACAATCCAACAATATGTTTTTGTTCTAAAGGATATTTTAAAAAGGTTAGTGACATCTAGGATATAAATATCTTTGTCTTACTTAAAATCTAGAGGTGTGGCAGTACGATGTAACCAACAATGTCCCTGCCCATGTATATGTACAAAGGAGTTCCGGCCGGTGTGCGGTGTTGACGGAAAAACATACTCAAACAAATGTTTTGCTGCATGCAAGTAAGTTATGTTTTGTCAGTCTATTATTTTCGTGCAGGTTGATTTATTATCCTGAGTCAAATTAGGTAAGAATGTGTCTTTTACTATTTCTCATGTGAAAATCACGGTCTGATCCACGTGTAATTATTCCGTATGTTATTTCGGCCTGGTTTTTATCGAATCTCATCTACAAACAGTTTTTAGAAATGTATGCCAGGAACGCATACGTCACCATATTTTTAACGCTTGATTAGGCTCTGGTGTCATATGGTAGGTCATATTGCATGTACTTAACAAACACTGTAATCGGATTATTTCGCGTAGCATATTCTAATCTTAACTGACAATGAATTCATAGATTTTATGGATCTCAAAATTTTGTCGGTGTATATATTGCAGAGCAAATAATACTTCTTAAACATATTAAAGGTTACAACGAATACCACCGAGTACCAGTAAAATTCATAATCGTACAAAACGTAAAAATGCACAAATGAATATTTAAATACACGTTTAGAGTTTGATACAGTAAAATCAAACAATGATTTAAACTTCATCATTCAGCTGTTTCATCCTTCTAGGACTATGGGGCTATATTTTAAAGCTTAGGAGGCGCCTGAGGAAAATACAAAGTAATCGACAGAGAGGCCAACACCTATTTGAGGAGGTGCAATTGGGACTATTGATTTTTTAATACAATAAATATCGTAAATTCATTATATCTAATAACTTTGGGACAATGTCAAGTACCTGTGTATATTCTGAACTGCATTATATTCGTATTGTTCAGCTATTCCTGTGTTTGTTTTACGACAATTTGATATTGGGTTCAAAAGTTTTGAGCATATAAATATATAGTGCTCCTGGTAACTTTCACTAAACCAAACCGCGTTTATATTTTATCTTTTCAGGGGTTTGTTAAGTATCAAAGTAGTAAACCTCGTTTAATCTCATTCAAAGTCTGTAAATTAATATGTGGTCGTGTATTTATTAAGCGAGACCGATGTTGAATGCCCCGGCGAATGCCCTTGCGAAGAATGTATTTGTACAAAAGAGTATGTCCCTGTGTGTGGAGTAGATGGGCAGACATATGGAAACAAATGTGAAGCAAAATGTCAGTAAGTACATTACTATTAAATTATTTTTTTCTACTAATGGTAGTGGTAGCAGTAGTAGTAGTAGTAAGTAGTAGTAGTAGTAGTAGTAGTAGAAGTAGTAGTTGTAATACTGATAGTAGTAGTAGTGGTATAGTAGTATTAGTAGTAGTAGTAGTATTAGTAGTAGTAGTAGTAGTAGTAGTAGTAGTAGTAGTAGTGTGGTAGTAGTAGAAGTAGTAACGATAGTAGTAGAACTAGTAATAGAAGTTGTTGTGTTTTAGTGGTGTAGTTTGTGTTGATTTTGACGCTGTTGCTGCTATTAACAGCAATATTATTAGCAGTAGTCAGTGGTTGCAGTAGTGTTAGTAATAGCGGAAAATATATCTCAGTGTTGTCTCATCCTGGCTTCGACTATTGACTATTACTTTGTCTAATCTTAGACCATAACCGAGTCAACCCTTTGCCTGTAAGACTATTTTTAAGACATTTGATTTCTTTTATACTGATTTGGTGTTTTCTAGAAATGTTAACATAAAATGTAAAGGAAAGTGCCCGTGTCCGTGTCCTTGTCCAAAAATACTGGCCCCAGTGTGTGGTTCTGATGGGGAAACCTACGACAATAAGTGTCTTGCCGATTGCGCGTAAGTATCAAGTTTACTTACTATATTTATAAGATACATTTATCACGGAAAAACGACTGGATATTTCTGTTACAACAGGAGCGTTATCAATGTCTATAGGCTGTTGGCATCGAAAAGATGTTCCTAGGCAGGTCATTAAACCTGTCTGAAGGTGGCGAATAATTTGATCTAGGAAGGAATTCGCTAAAATAGAGATTTATATAGCGAAGTACGGCATCAGACAACTACTTTCATACAGATATGAAAGTAGACACCCGTAAGAAATTACTGATAATCCAGATTACATATATTTTTGCAGTGTTTAAGGAATAAATCATTGTCGAATTTTATTATTTATTCTTTAGGAAAGTTAAAGTAGCGTGTGAAGGGAGCTGTCCATGTGGAATAACGAAGGGCTGAATTTAGGTAAGTTGGGTTTCCTGAAAATAAAAATCCCAAACAGAAACCTTTAATGTGTACGCAGGATTTTAGGAGTTGATTGTCTTTCCAAATAACACAGATATCAGAACCCTCCTTTAATGGATATGAATCTGACTATCTGGCCCTGACACACTAGTTCATAGCATATTTCAATACAAAATCAGAATTGAAGACGGTATTGCAAACGAATGAATTCAGTCTCACTTTGAGCAGCCAAATAATATTAAATCCTGAATGATATTTGCAACTAGATTTATTACACCTTAATGGAACTGATGTAGATCGATAACCTTTATTTTCATTTTTATTATATTAGAACAAACTAAAAAAATATAGTCAAAGGTTAATAATATCATACTTCTCAGGCGCCAGGTGCCCGAGCTTAGGTCTTTAAAAACCAGAGATTTGAAATTAAAATCATAAACAGGAATGAATTACCCCCTTTCCATTTGTGTTGTCTTTTGTCTATGAAATACCGGAAGCAGTACTACAGTTTAGACATATTTCCCGAAAAGATCAGGCTACTGGATGAAATAATATGAGCGTACCGTTAATGTTGTTGAGGTGTATACTGTATCCCGACTCTCATTTCTGATACAATAATAATAATCATTTACCGACCAGATTATATTGTTCGGTTTAATATATATAAGATAAATTTAATGCTATTAGGAAAAATATATTCCTTTGAAAGTAATATGTAAATAAAATGATAATTCATCCATGTGGCAGAATGTTGTACAAACTTGAACACTCGGTATTTGATTTTTTTATACACTTAAATCAAGACGGCCTATGGTAACTCCTGGATTTCCAGAAACAAGATGAAATTTATTTTGTCCAACATCCAAAATAACGAAAGTACACTCTTATGATCTTTGTTCTCAACAAAGGCAAAAAAATTGAATTATGTAAATGTAGTATTATTGATCTTTACATTATTGTTTATCTGTTTACCAAACCATTTTTGTATGTATATTTACAGCTATGGTAGAGTTACCTGAATCGTTTGCTGGATCCGCCTGTGTGGAAAATGGGAAACTGTCTAGAGTGTAACTTATAAAGCCATGAATAACAAAAGAAATAAAAAAATCACTTACATTTCGCGATTTTATTATTATCTACATATGGACGGAAATTGAATGATTAGTTATAATGAATGTTTATTTGTACAAATATATCCATTCACGCCGAGGGATGGTACTAAGTACACAAATGACCCACTATTTTTCCATTTATCTGATAATTTAAAAGAACATCAATTTCACAAGTACTATTGTATGTTCTGAATTAATACCTGGCATGGAGGTTACAGCGAACCTCGAGAACTAAGCGTACAAAAATAATAAATTAAATTTCATCATACAGCCGTATCTTTCTTCTTGGACTCCTACTGATTCCGTTAGTTACGTTTGTAGAATTCATATCTTACGGGTATGTTCCAACAAGTGACTTGTGATTCACCATACAAAGTACACGAAACAATATACATGTTGGAATTCATATCTAATGTACCAATGATGTAATATACAGTGCAACTGCAATTGATATGATATGATATACAGAGAATGCAAGGTCAATGTCTTAAAATGTAAGCTGTATTTTGGCGCGGGTGAACTTAAATAGACTGAACAAAATTAGAGAAATATTTTCTGAATATTTTTCTAACCTGATAACAAAATCAGGAACATTTTCATTAGCCTCTTGGATACGTCTTCACTGCACACATTTCTCGAGTAGTTTATTTTACAAGTAAAGGTACCAAGAACAGCGAAATCTTTCATATTTCTTGTAAAAGTGATGCCGTTCACTTGACAAAACATATAGACACTGCATATACTGTTCAAAAGAGGTTGTGGGTATTATTGTTTTCAAAGAGCATACATTTTTCTCAATTTTTTAGGACAATGTACGAGTCTAAACTTTAGTGAAACATACGTCTTCTATGCATCAAGCGTTTGGTAAAACCAGTAAAATTTGAGCTGAACTAACTACCTTTGCAGTAACAGTCAGGACGGTCGAAGTGTTATGAAATAATTATTACATGTGTATATCTGTCTGTCCCACACATTCAGGAATCAACTCCTCCAACAGTTTCAGTCGATTCTCTTCATCAATACATACATACATACATACATGATTATAAGGTACCTTAAATATCTTCATTTTTCCATGTAGTTTCCTTTCCTGTTGTGGTTTTATGACTCATTTGCTATTCTATTTCCAATTAGAGCTTGTGAAACGAACGCCTTTACTGGATTCTTTTAAAACATTTTCACACTTTCAGTCTAACAAGAAGATTGCATTTTCAGCAGTTCTGTTTTTTTAATGAAATTATTCATTTTTACTATCAAAATAAAACAAATCTAGGAAATAAACTCCCGTTTAGTTTCAATCTATTTCACGGCAAAACGTTCGTCAAATTGAATACAAATACATTTTATTGTATAACAAGAAATTGTCTTCTTAACAAACTACTACAAGTCGACATTGAATGTTTCTCATCGTGTTTTTTATTTATTTTTTCCATGGTTCAATTTTTTACTGATTTGTCAAAAGCTTCAATTGAGATAAGGATGATCACATGAATCACATGATTCAGATTTGATGACATCAGTGATATCGAACAGTTGTGGACTATTCATGACAACCTGCTACCCTATCAAAATAAATGACGTCACCATTGATGAAGATACAATCCAAAATCAAGGACATATTGAATGACGTATTAAAACCTTTCGTGTCGAAATAAAAGCCGAGCCAAGCTTTTCATTTTACTACATTTGGTAATTATCTAATATAGATTGAAAAAAAAAAAAATGATACTGTCATTTAAAAATTAACACAAGGCGGAAGTTTTTAATTGAAGGCATGACTAGCGTCGATATATTATAAAAGAACTATCGTATCCTTTAGTATAAATCCTCCTAAAAATAATTGATCTTTTCATTCTTTCTCCTTCTTAAGTACCTTATCCCCAATATTTTTTTCTCAGGTTTGTTTTAGGGTAAACATGTATATCAACGTTCCGCCGATTTCTAGAGAAATAGTCTTCTTATACTTACAATGAATGCTATCTGGCAGCTTCCTCTATAGATTTGCGTTATCATTGCATGTTCTTTTTCATTTCTATTAACGAGTGTTTTTTAAACTTACAACAAATACTAAATCAACAGAATTATGTTCTAACCAATTAGCAAATCGTGGTCAGTCGTTCGATATTTCTATCTAAATTGATTTTGACCGACATTTTATTTTTGGATTTGATTTTAAAATGTAAAAACTGTTCTTAATACAATAAACTATTATCGTACATCAAATTTAAACTCAATCAAAATAAATTTGCTTCACGTTTTGTAGTGATTGATTGATACATTTAAATAACATTTCTGTATTTAAAGGTGGGCGCGACAGGTAGTACGATTCCATCCATGCAAACATACATCAATACTCTAGCCAATAATAAACAAACTGTCACGTGGTTAGTCAAATCAGCAAAACAGCTGTAAGTTGTTTTAAAAAAAATTGCATCTTCGGCATTAAAATTAGCATTGAAGAGACAATTGATACTGGTCAGGAAATATTGTTGTCACCGAGCTGAAAGGATTTATATGTTAAAGATGTTTAAACGTAAAAGGTTTTGTAAATGTATGATGAGAATTCAGATACCTGTTATTTAATAACAAAATTGTGTATATATATTATTTATATATACTGTTTAAAGAGGTGAAATTTCGCTGCAGTTTATCGTTTCGCCCTTTCGCCATAAGGATATTTTCCCACAAGTGACTTGTTGATTCACCATACAAAGTACACGAAACAATATACATGTGGAATTTATATCTAATGTACCAATGATGTAATATACAATGCAATTGCAATTGTATGATATACAGAGCACGTCAGGTTTCGAATTCGACACGATTGCCTGTGATACGTAAACATTTTTCTATGAACACAGAAGATAAGATTCCATGATGAATATTCTTGCACCGTTACACAGTGTACATGTACGATCTAAATGAGTACACATTAATCTGTCGTTGCCATAGTTTTGCCAATAGTTTACAATTACTCGTCGGATCCCAGAGGTCCCTCGACACCTGTCATGAAGAGTTATTTATTTCATGAATACCGGCACTATATAAATAGTTCAGTTCATCATACAGTCGTATTTATATGGGGATATAATTGACCATATAATACAAAAGAAAGGCATGATTCACAACCGACTAAAATTATACATTAACATAAGTGGAATATGGCGTTGTTATGATTAAAATGTACGATACACCACCGGTGCTACTTGATATAAGTGTATTAGAGAATAAACAATTCTATAACGTTCAGATATTTAATATAATTTTTTTTCATGAGTAACCATATTTAGTTAAACAAACCAACAAAAATCACAAACATGTCCATAAGTACTTGTGTGATACGCACCTCTAAATCCAAATCCTCCGTGAAGCTCTCGCACGTTATGAATTTTCCGATGTCCAATTGGCAGGCCAAAGGAAGACAGTTCAATGCTTGTATCAACTTATTTCTTTTGTTATCTGACTTTTTAATTTGATCCTGTTT